CCTAAAAAGGACAGCAACGATTGGCGTCCAACTGGTGACTATCGGCGATTGAACGCGGAAACCATTCCCGATCGTTACCCGTTGCCTCCCATTCACGATTTGACAGTTACCTTGAAAGGTACAACTGTCTTTTCGAAAATCGACTTGGTTAAAGCGTATAACCAAATCCCCATGGCTACTGACGACATACCGAAAACAGCTATCATAAGACCCTTCGGTCTCTATGAATTTTTGCGAATGCCTTTCGGTCTAAGGAATGCTGCTCAAACATTCCAAAGATTCATAGACGACGTTTTTCGAGGTCTCAACTTCGTACACGCGTATGTTGACGACTTTCTAATCGCAAGTCCGGACAGAGAATCACATCTCAAGCATCTGGATCTTGTTTTCGAACGACTACAAAAACATGGCATTACTGTAAACGTTCAGAAATGCCGATTCGGAACCGACTCATTAGACTTTCTGAGACACACTATCGATGCTCAAGATATCCGACCCCTTAAAACCAAAGTGGCGGCCATTCTGGATTACCCAGAACCTACCACCGTCAAGCAATTACGCACGTTTAACGGCCTCGTATGTTTCTCTAGACGTTTCATACCGAAATGTGCGTTACTCATGAAACCGCAAACCGACCAACTTGGTGGAAATGCGAAATCCATTAATTTGGACGACAACGCACGAAAAACATTCTCCACAGTTATGGAACTGATCGCTAAAGCAATAATGCTCGCACATCAGGACACCCATCAGTATCGCAGTAGACGCAGCGGACTCGGCAATCGGTGGCGTCTTACAACAATGGATTAACAACTCCTGACAACCTTTGGCATTTATCTCTAGAAGGTTGCTAGACACCGAATCGAGGTTCAGCACATTCGGTAGGGAACTCCTAGCTATGTATTGTGCTGTACGGCATTTCCAACACTATATCGAAGGCCGTAAATTCACTCTTTTCACGGACCATAAACCGCTCACTTTCTCGTTAAGCTCGCCTACAGACAAGTACTCTACCCGTGAGTCTCGACAACTGGACTACGTTTCGCAGTTTACTTCAGTTATTCAACACATCTCTGGAGCAAACAATGTAGTTGCAGACGCCTTATCTCGCATAACTTCCTTGAACAGTTTCCATGGAATCGACCTTCTTAAACTCGCCGAGCTTCAAAAAGAAGACAGTGATCTTCAGCATGAGTTGTCGTCCACAACCTTCAAACTACGCATCAAACAGATGGGAACAGGTAAGGAAACCTCACTGTGTGACACATCTACAGGTAAGGATCGCCCAGTCGTGCCGAAACGTTATCGACGCAACGTCTTCAATACGTTGCACAAACTTTCGCATCCAGGTGTTCGTGAAACCATCAAGCTTATAGCAGAACGGTTTTGCTGGCCTGGCAAGAATAAAGACGTGAGGGAGTGGGCACGCTCCTGTGTAAGCTGCCAAAAATCTAAGGTTATCAGACACAATAAATGTCCTTTAGACTCATTTAAAACCCCCGATGCTCGTTTCGACCATGTTCATCTGGATTTGGTAGGACCTTTACCAGATTCAAATGGATACTCTTATCTCTTAACCTGCGTTGACCGTTTCACTCGATGGCCAGAAGCAGTACCTATCACGGACATCACTGCTGAAACAGTGGCCACACTTTTAGTAATCACTCGTTTCCGAACGACCGCCTACCATTCACAAGCAAACGGGTTGGTAGAACGCTTTCACCGACAACCAAAAGCCTCAATATCAGCTGCAAACGTTTCACAGTGGACCGACGCTCTTCCACTCGTCTTACTAGGTATTCGCAATGTAGTGAAAGCTGACATTGGATACACTGCGACTCAACTCGTTTATGGAACGACACTTCAACTTTCAGGAGAATTCGTGGATCCTTCATCCTCTTCAATGAACATGGATCTAACCTCCTACACGAACAGGCTTACAAACGCAATGCGTTCAGTTAAACCTGCTCTCACTCGACCTCAGTCAACCAATGTTTTCGTTCAACCTGACTTACGATATAGTACCCACGTTTTCGTTCGTCGAGACTCACATTGACGACCATTCGAATCAGAATACGAAAGACATTCAAAGTTCTTCAACATGAATCTAAGTTCTTTATAGTCGATGAGAACGGAACCAACGATAGCATCAACATCGAACGCCTCAAAGCAGCGTATTTAGAAGGAAATCCTATCCACGTCAATTTTCCTTCGGTACAATCGAACAACACGACTGTGACACTTATAATACCTCATCCGACAACCAACACGCACGATGATCCTTCGACAGTATCTTAAAATAAACTTAAGACGACGCGTTCTGGAAGAAGAGTAAGATTTCCAGAACATTTAAACGACCATTGCACGAAAGACATCTCGATTTTACATGGCATTATATATAACATAAAAAGTTTTCAATATGGTTATGTTTTTATATATATTTATCATTTGGTTAATATGTATATTAAAAAGATTTTCTTTAAAAAAACATTTTGTAAAAATCGATTTTACGTTGTTTACACTTTTTCGCCCATTTTATGTCTTAAAGTGCGTACGAGTTTGATTCGACATGCACTTACATATTCTTTTTTTCTTTTCTAGGACGACTGGAAAAGACGATAAAAAGAACGATGAGGTTTACGAGGAACCAAAATTTTCATTGTACATTATTTTCTTACTATATCGTACTTCATGGTCCCTTGTAGTAAGGAAAGATGACCAGACGCTGTTAAACCTAGCGAGCTATCAGAAGAGCGTTTACCAACGACAAAACTCGTTGGGGTTAAACTTCTGGCTGGTCACGTCTTATAGTCATCACTGCCCCACTAGGGGGGAGTGATCTGTGGCGGTAAATTAATCCCCAAAATAAATAGCTCTGTAAGTTTTCGACATTGGATACTGACCACATGTTTTAATGGACTCGGTCATGCATTCGCACCAGATCACGAGTGGGAACGCCGTGCTTAATATCTACTGCAATCGCTAGCCAAATTAGATCAGACGATTCCCGATATACTGATAGTCATCAAATATACTTTCCATTCTCCCCGATTCTGTCTTTTGGTTTCACTTGGTGGGTACGATTCATATGAGAAGTTGTTATTGGTTAAAGCGTTGTCAAACTATCAATATTTGAAGCATCTTCAATCTAATATCTGATAACTTGAAATACGCAGATTCAAGTGGAAACTTCCGTTAACAGAAGTGGTTCCTGAAGTCGGACTTCTCTGCTAAGCCATGTTGTGAGTTCTTGGAAGAGATGCGACTTTAAATTTTGGAGCCAAGTTACTACGAAGTCTCTCAAAAACAGCGAATTAAAAAATTTCACTGGAACAAGAGTTCTTACCTGTCTTTAGAAAAATCATTCCGGATATTTAACTACATTTTCCAGAACTTCGACCGCTATATGGATCAAAGTGTTTGGCGTTGTCGTATTTTCTTCGTTTGAACACTTCGCATATTATTCAGATGAGGACCTAGGAAAATGAGCAGTGCTATCAAGATGCATATTTGTGCAAAACACTTATTGTTACTTCTCGGAATTCGGGATTACTTTAAAATGACAACGCTTACCTTGATTTCTCAACAGCTTTTGATAAGGTTAACCACTTGTGTCTTATCAACAAGCTCAAACGACTAGGTATCAAACCACCTCTAATAGATTGGCTTACTTCATACCTAAAAAATCGACACTTTAAAGTTAGGGTTAATTTCACTTTATCTCAGGCTATGGAATGTCCTAGTGGGGTCCCCCAGGGCTCAGTACTAGGGCCTCTTCTCTTCTTGATCTACATAAGTGATCTTCCTCAACAGGTAACGTCAGACTTATTACTTTCTACCGACGACGTGAAACTTTGGTGGGAGATACGCAACCAAAACGATACACAGGCACTTCAGGAGGATCTGACGCGACTTCAAAGTTGGGCAGACGATAACGGACTTACCTTTAACACTTCAAAGTGTAAAGTAGTCCATCTGCGACATGTCGCAGACTACAGTTACAACTTAGGAAACTCCTCTCTAGTAGTATCCCAAGTCGAAAAAGATTTAGGAGTCCTGGTGCCCCATGACTTAAAGTCTTACGCTAACTGTGACAAAAATGCCTTCCGAGCAAACCTTGCACTGTTAACGTTGTGGCGCATTTTTGGCCAGTTTGACGGAAGAACTTTCCACACAATCTTCAATAGTTTCATCCGTCCCCATTAAGAGTACGGAAACATAGTACTCCCCCCTCACTCCAAAAAGACAAGGTCACTTTGGAGCGTATCCAACGGCGAGCCACGAAATCAGTTCGAGGACTTAAATCTAAGCCTTACGGAGAACGCCTCCGTTCACTAGACCTTTACCCACTAGAATATAGGCGTCTTAGAAGTGATTTATTAATGGCTTATAGTATTCTTAACACTTCTGGACATCCTCTCAAACACATACTTAAGCTTAGTTCGAATATTAACCTAAGAGGTAACACCAAAAACTGGAGACACAACATAGCAGAACTGGCTGTAGACACAACTTCTACTCCTTTAGAGTTGTCAAAAGCTGGAATTCGCTGCCGGCCGAGCTAGTCCAAGCGACTTCTCAGGAGTCCTTCAAGAGGCAACTTGACCTATTCTTAAGGACCAAGGACAGCATCACACTATGATTTACCAATTTCTTTTCCTCTTTTATTGTTAACATACCTAGGTTCCTGCCTGGAGGATTTGGTGATCCCCTGCTACTAGACACGGAAGCCTGTTAAGCGAAAGCTTCTTCTATTCCGTCCACAACCATTCGAACCATTTGAATTAACGATAGGCATTACGAACAAAGGAGATCAACAAATTTATTTGTGCTAAACGTTGTGTTAGAATTAAAGTGAAAGCTGTAAATATTCATCTCTTGAGATCGAAAACAACCGTTCAAATATGGTTTGATTGATTATTCTTCCTTACGTATAAACACCCGATGAACAGTTTTAATTCTCTAATTGGAATCGCGCTTTTTTAACTTTGTTACTGAAGGTCAAGGTAAGATGCAAGTGTATAATGCGAGTCTGTAGGAAGTTTATTAATTTTAGTCATTCGTATAATTTTCGTTTCTGTTTGCACTGTCTTTGTCAGAATAAAGCGTGTCCTATGTTTTTCAGTTTGAGCTGTGATTATATTATACTCACGCTTCTTTGATTTTGCGTCGAGACTAATTCATGGACGAGTCAATCAGAAGCGTTTGAGTTCCTATACTGGATGCATTATGATTTCAGAACATCTAAAATTTTATCAAACCTTAAAAAGTTTTTAAGTCATGTAAAAGAAAAATATACACTGTAATTCATTATTTCCTTATAATATATTTTTACTTTACACTAATTGTCTTCTGATTGGCTAATGATTGTCAAGGTCATTTAAGATTCCTTCAAGGTGTGTCCATAAATTGTAGTCTCGCCGGATGTTTTTCTTTTACATGATTGAAAAACTTTTTAAGGTTTGATAGAAGTTCAGATGCTCTTAAATCATAATGCATCCAGTATAGGAACTCGTCCATATGGCTCTATAATAATCGTCCTCTAGAGCCGTGGTACGGTCTTAAAAATTCATCCAGTCTCGACCACATGGCTTCAATATTATTAGTTTGAACGCCGGTTGTAGTGTAGACGAAATGGCGCTTGTGCACTGCGACATGATGCACATACCCAAGTCTATATAGGCATCTATAAGCTCTCCAGCCATCCGTATATACTGTAGTGCCCGGCTGCACGTATTCCTGTATAATTGTTATTATTGTGCCTGTTTGCCGGTTTCTGACCCTCTGAAAATGCCCCTTTTGCGCTGATCGATCATAAATTCCAAGTACCTGTCAAGTATATTCACGGAAGTGCTACTTACCCTATCTTCCTTGATACTACGTCCCCTGTTGTATTTTCACTTTCCCACTACTGTTTCATATATCTCCACAATACATCCTACTCCTCCGAATGATTGGTGTAGACGTGTCATTTTAATTGCACATATGTCACGGCAATAGTCATACTACTGGACTGCTGAAGTTTCAGTAACATGTGCAAACGCTGCAGCCAGTGTTACTGGTGACTTTATTATCCTATTTGCAACTAATATCATGACCTGCCTCAGTTTCAGTCGCGATCGAGCGAAGAAAGTCCCCGTTCGAGCAAATTTTTACTCCAACATGAAGAACAACGAAATACAATCTCATCACGGTAGTCTGCACACTTTACTACAGTCAGTTGATAACCGCAGTCACAAGTACAAGAACTTCTTAGTAGTCGCATATCTTGTAGCCTCTCAATAATCACCTCTTCTCTAAAATCCCCTGTAAACCGATCGTATGTGAGCATCAGGTGTTGAACTTGACTCTGTGACCTTGAAATTGTTCAAACGATTCTGATTGGCTCGTCCATAAATTGAAGTTTCGCCGAATATCCACTGTAATTCATTAGTTTCTTATAATATATTTTTGCCTTATACTAATTGTCTTCTGATTGACTAATGATTGTCAAGGTCATTTAAGATTCCTTCGAAGTTCGTCCATAAATTTGGGTCTCGCCACTCATCTTTGGAATAAATCTGAAGTCGCTTCGCTCTTAAGGTTTTTATTTTATAGATATTTATATAATTTGCTATTTTTTATTCATTTTGCGCATGTAAAAAATAGAATTGTATTTTTTGTCTCAAAGTAATATGTGGTCAAACATTGTATATCCTGTCTGGAAGCAATGTCAAAGCTGTTTGCATATTTCTCTTCCAACCATCCCGTATTTAATTGGACGGTTTTTTTGATATAGTTACAAATTTCTGAAACTTAGCTTTCGAGTTCCCAAGCGATATTTGTGCTTTAGAGAACTTCTTGCGGGATGACGTTTGATATCCTGTCGTAGACGTTTAACTTCACACTAAAAATGCGTAACGAATTCGCCGTATATTGTCGTTCTTTGGAATTTTGTTTATGGTTTTTATTATTGTCGGTATACTTCCGTCCTTTATTTTACGGCGTTTTGGTCGGCTGTGTGGTTTCCACAATGCAGTATTTACTATTATTTCATTTTGTTCGCTCTTGTTGATATTTGCATAACCTTTTAAATGCAACAGATGCAAATGTGACTGCAACTAGTTGTATATCTGATCCTGTCTAGGTCTGTCTTGTTGTCTATCTTTAGTCATCCCTTGTGCTTGCTAAGATTTCCCGTCTGTAGGTAAATAATAATCATTGATTCGTGTTCATCAAGGGAAACGTGTGAATTCTGTTGTGTTACCTTTCGTACTGCTTGTTACATCTAAAGGTCGATGTTTTCTGTTTAACTATATTCTAAACAGCTTCCATGAACAGTGAATAATGAACACACACCATGCTGTAACTCGTCTGATTATATTTGGTAATTTACATAAATATCTAAACAGTTTTATGTTTAAGTCATTAGGTTTAAACCCGTCCTTACGATAGTAGGTCGTTTGACCTGTGTTAATCCGTGGAAGCTGTTCTCCTGCATAGATCCAGCTTTCACATGGTGTTCTCTGATAGAGCTGGTACATGGTTATTGAGATAGGGGGTTCCTGTTACTGACTATTCAATGAGATAAACGCAATCCGTTTCTGATTCTATCCGATGACGGTTTTTAAACCATATTGTGATGACTTCTGAGATGATTAGCCATAGGAAGAGCAAAACACTAGAATGTTAATATAAGCTCACTTCGCGTTTTACTGTCAGTATTGTTAGTGCGTCCATGAATTCTAGTACCTTGGTTACAAGTGTTTAGCTTCTAGCTTGTAAGAAATCGTGTGGAAGCCAACTCATAATGTAACATCAGTTCATGTAGTCAGTGATTGTTGGTTTGAGCCATGTGGTTAGGTGCAAAATATTTAGTTGGGATCCGTGTGGTGATCATGTTCATACACTCATACGTACCTTTTCATCCCTTCCGGAACAATATTCTCAGCATTCAGTTATTCTCATCACTACTAAGCATTTCAGTTATCTTGTTTCCTATTATGTCAATTTCATCTCGCCGTTCTGATGTGCGATGGGCATTTAAGCTAACTCACATTTGTACCAATCTCTCTATGTCACTAAACCTTTTCTCAAATGTTTACGCTTTTTAGAGAAATTTAAAACTCTCATATTTCAAGGAAATGTTCATTAGAACCGCTATTATTTGATTTTAATAAAACAGCTCTCTGTAATGGATATGAAATGCTCTAGGTAGTACGCTCGATGCTGATTTATTGTTCCATAGACATGAACAAATGCTAAATATTATAAGTGGAGAAAACGTAAATATTGAAGAACTTAAAAGATTGTCTATTGACGGTTGTCCCGATTCTAATGGGATCCGTTCTAGAGTTTGGAAGGTAAGGTATTCCTCTACATTTTTCAGTTCCTTTTAAATTATCTTCCTTATAATGTCGAAAAACGACAAGAACGGATAACTTTTAACAGAAGGCAATATGAAGGTTATGTAAAGGAATTTGTATTTGAGTCTTGTGTGGCAGATGCTATGCCTGCTGATCATGTAAGTATATTCATTTAGTATTATTGTTACTTCTTTAGCCACTGAATTTAGAACCAGATGGAAATTGGATCGCGTTTTTTCGCGATAATGAAACTTTACTCCAGATTAATAAAGACTGTCAGAGACTGTGTCCAGATTTTGATTTCTTTCGTCGTCCCACAGAGTATTCTTGTCTATCATTATTTGGAAAGGAAGTACCTGTTGGGGTGTTACGGAGAAGAGGGGAAACCTCTGCACTTCAGGTAAATAGTCCTAAAAATTCTCCTTGGTATTTTTTGAGCAAATGTTTTACTTACAAACCTCATGCTTTGGGTTACCAACTTTGCATTGTATTTCGCTGATTCTCGTTGGACATCTCAAACTGAGTATTATTTCGTGTAGGGATGCTAAGACGTGATTTATTTCAAGGGTTTCCCTGGAATCGTTTCCGTATAAGACAAAGTATAATTGCAACAACGCACATTTTAAGCACCAGCAATTTACTCAACGGCATGTATCGTAAAAGAGGTTTTGTAGAGGTTATAATATTTTATTTTTTTAATATTATAGCTGACTGACTAAATATTTTAATACAAAGACGCCAAGACAAGTTTTACAAATGTTCCATCTATATAGATTTTGAATATCGGAAAGTGAAATTGTCTTCCTAAAATGTAGTTACACAGATTGGCTAGTTATTGAACAGTTAAAAGGGAGCTATTGAAGTGAAACTAACATTGAGAATATTCATTGGCAAGTATATATCGCATTGTCAGTATAGGGTTATGGAGATTGTTAAGTTTCATTGAGATCATGAACCGATCAACGTTAGACACTTGTGCCAGTAGGCTAATTTTTTTCATAGCTTGATTGATTGAACGTTTCCTGTTAGTTACTAAACACCACTTTTTTGTTGTATTTTATTCAAAGATAGTTCATGTTACAGTTAACATCAGCTGAACAACCGTTATCAGAAGCCATTAAGTAACTGTCATTGTCACATTCTACCCTAATACAGAATTATGATTGTTAAAACTACTAAAGATGGGCTATCTATAGTTTTTAGTAAATGCACGTTCTTAGTTTCAACCCAACTACAGTAGTCAATGCATTAAAATTCAACTAGTTAGTAATCTAACTCAACTTCTTAGCTGCAGATATGAATGTTTGTCATCTGAGAATTCATTCAACAATTGAAAGGTCTTATACCCCTCCGTTTTTGATAGTTGGTTAATGTAGACCTCTGGTGAAAGATGTATTTTATAATTGTTTCTACGGATTGCTTTTGATTTAAGTATATGTTATTGTTATCATAATATGTTTTAAGTGTTCAATTTTACTTGTTTTCTTTCTAGTCCCGTTCATTGAATAAAAATCTTGCCGGTGTTACAAATATAATTCATCTACCCACCTACGCTCCTTTCCAACCAAGCCATCGATTATCTTCTGGTTTAGTAACACAATCACAAAGAAATAAGATAAACCGTAAAAGCGATTGGAATTCGACCTCACCGCATCAGGAACCACATTGGGAAGTGATTGAAAGAATTCTATATGTATATTATAAAACTCATGTGTCTCAGGGTTATGTTCAAGGAATGAATGAAATTATTGCACCGATATACTATGTTTTCGCCACTGACCCCGATGAATCCTGGAGAAGCAAGTTCATTCTGTGTATTTATATATTTGCTGAAGACTGTTGTTAGAAGTTAGGGGCAGGAAACGTGGTAGCGAGGGCTAATCGGTTGATGATGTAGTAAATATCCATCGACTAAAGTAGTCGAGGTGTCTGGTACGAATTACCAAGCATTGTCTACCTCGACGTGTGATGTTGAATGATATAGAATTAGGCTGTGACAAAGCTAAGATTAGTCAGTCCAAAACTTCGTATCAATCGTTAAGTCATCAACAGTGAGACTGAATCATGTTTGTGGGTGCAAGATACCTGGTCGATATCGATTAGATTATCGTGTCCAATCGTTACAGATGTGATATAACATGGCTCAGAATCACTGTCATTTGTGCAGATGCATCCATTCTCTGTCTTCTCTCAGATTTTGAGTCTCTCAATTGACTACATTTTTTGTTTCAGTAACCTATATTTTCTCCTCAAATCATATATTGTATGTCTAATATTTTGTTACTACTTCTGATAATGTTAGTATTTGTACTACTGTTGTGTTTGTCATAACAGTTTCATCTCCATGATGATGTGGTGCGTCAATTTCAGTCGATGTACTTGGTGTCAACCTGTAAAGTCATTCAGATATCTTTTGTGTACTTATTTGTGGCAGTGGGTTTAGTAATTATTTCGAGAGTAATCTTCATCAAAATATTAAAATAATATATTAGTGCATCTGGTCATTTTGCGTGTATTGGATTATCAGTCATATGAACAGTTGGAATATAATTTGTCTCAAGTCGTAAACACCCTAGTTATTGAAAAAAGATTTGTATAAAAAAGATCTCTAAATTTATTTAGGACCAAAATATTTTGATCTTTCAACTTGTCTTGTAACAAAGCAATGAAGACTTAATTATCTAAATCACACTTTTATTTTAGATTTAATTTATTCACTAGGAAGCTTTGGGGGATAATACCTTCTGCTCGTGATTAGTTTGTAGTCATCTGAGGAGTAAAGATACGTCTCTACTGACATTTTTTGTAAATTATAAACTAGTCTGTCGAAAAATACATTAATAATTTATACTCCTGATTTTCGCAATTTCTATTCTTGATGTATCGAAATCCTGTTTAATTTTATTACCTCAACTCTTTTCACACAGAATATGCAGAAATGGATACATTTTATTGCTTCAATAACCTTATGACTGAAATTCATCCTAATTTTCTACGAAAGTTAGATGGTAGTCATGAAGCTGGTCTAGGTGAGCATTTACGGTTTTCGATTCATTTCTCCTTCATAAAAGCACCCGATTCAATGCGTTGTTTATTTAAAAAGAATAACTGGTATTTTAGCCAATATTTCCTCTCATACATTATTAATATAATCTTATAGGTCAGTCACATATCTGCACTGAATAAATATGTACTGTATGAAATTACATCGGGTTTAGTCACTGTATATCAAAATAATTAGTTACGTAGTTTACCTCAAAAGAGTAGGTCAGATGAAATAGATAACCATTAAACTAATTTAACACAAAATCTCTACATCATTTTATATACCCTTTAGTTGAGTTACACATTTATCATACATGTAGTAAACTACCAATATGTTACTCGAGTTATTCTCGATTCATGAATATGTTACAGCTAAAATCATATCAGAATTATGATAGCTTTTTACTTCGAAGAAAATTCTGTAAGAGTAATGCCCCTTATTAAATTAAAACACTGGTTTATTGGAAAACGCATGTCGAGTAAGATTGTTGGTTGAAGTTTCGCTATTTACCCATGTCTATTAATGCTTTGTTGTAGGTTAACTGATAAAACACAAGGTAATACCCGTCGCATTTAGTTATCGGTTCAAATAACAACGCTGTACAGTGACATGTGAAAAAGGATTCGACATGATTATTAACAAAGGAGTATTATATCGAAATGAGTAGAAAACCAGGTAAAGTACGTGAAAAGAAGCGGTATGTATGGTATTTTCAGTCTTAATTTTCAAGATTTAGCCACAGGTCAAAAGAACGTTGCGTCTACTTTATTGCTGATAGTTTTTAATTACATTCCACTTGATACCAACTGTAGATTTCACCATAGATCTTTATGCATGCCCCATTACAACAGATAAAAGTTATGTGATGGTTGTAATGAATTGTTGATACCAAACGATACCTTATACAACAGTAATGCGTATTTAACGATAATAACAAAAGCAACGTATTGTCAGATAGGTTATGTAGTAATTTATCGGAGTTTTACATATTATTTCATTATGTTTTCTATTCCTCAGTATGGGTGGTAATAATATATTGTTACTTTTTAAATTCTAAAACTTAATTTGTTTTGTTGTTTACTTGCTCAATTTTTATCAGGTGGGCAAATGAAAATTTTATCGGACTTATTATCTAAATTCGACAATAATCTATCTAAACACTTTAAAAAAATAGAACTTGTTCCGGAACATTTTGCATTTCGTTGGTTAAGCTTGTTGCTGGCACGAGAATTCATGCTTCCAGGTTTGTAATTCTGTTGTGTTATTGTTAGTAATATCGTCAATTTTCTTATACAAAGCACTTGAAACTCATGAGTTCGACGTCTTATAAAGTTTTATAAATAGCTTCACCCACTTAAAGGATTTTAGGTTCGCCGAAGATTGACACTGTGATGAAAGTATATTCAATTAAGGCATTAAATATCTTATATTCACAACTGCTAATGATATAACGGAGAGGGTTATATTGCTATAGTTGGAACGCATTTGTGCCTGTTAAATACATGAATAGATAGAAAATATGATTGTTAACCCCCAGAACCCTAAATCTCAATAAACCACATAATATCTGAAAACAAAAACCTGGCCGTTGACTGCAAAGAATTGATATTCAGGTAAATTATCCTACTTTCTACATATTTCCAAGGAATATAAAATTACAATGAATAAGCTGAGATGATAGTTGTTTGTATGTTTATGGAGATCTGATGTGA